AAAAAAAAAAAAAAAAGAAAAAAAGAAAGTTGTCCCCTCGAATCGTGGCGACCGGTAACCGACGATTTCACGAGAGGATGTGTGGCTGAGGGTGTGTGGTGTGTGGATTAGGTGTCAGCGTGCAGAGATCGCGGCGCTGCAGACGGAGATGCAGCAACGCGTGCAACTGTTGCGACGGACGCAGCGACCCAACGGACTCCTGAACAACGACACGTCGTACTTCATCATCAAAGCGCATCGACGAGCTCTCGCGGCCGCGACGCCAACGTCTATGTCACCACACACTCTTCTCGCCACGGCACAAGGTACATTGACGTCTTTCGGCTTCATCGGACGCATGTTCCACGAGCAATCATGGACTAATGATACCATTACGTTAGTCGATCAATTTAGTCTCGCATTATGTAGTTGATAGAGAAAGATATTTTCATAGATATTTACGTTGGTAGAGTTGCAATGAGTACAACGTGTCGATTCTATGGTAAAACTGAAAGTTAAAGAATGATATGGTATCACTGGTTCAGAACGATGGTCGCTGAAGAAATGACTGTCTTTTGATAATTGCTTGCAGAACGGTTGTTTGTTTCATTTGTTTTAATCTCTATACTTCCTTGTTATACGTTCTTGTTCTTTCGAATACTGAAGCGATTAGTCACTCCGGGTTAACTAGATTTATTTTATATCAACGTTTGTCATAAAACAGTGATTTAGTAAATCCCCGATAAATTTTGAACTTGATTTTCCAATATTACGTGGAATTGATCTATATTTATTAATATATCTAGTTTATTATCCTTTATATAATCGACGGTCTCATCTACAGCGGCCAATAGATATCTCGATTACCATCACCATTGTAGTATAATCATCCTTAATTGTATTATCGCATGTAATTATTCACAGCCACGTTTTTTACATACCACATTCACGATCGTTCGTTTACTCATTTGCTCAAAATTATACTCGTTTGCTTTCCAAATTTAATAGAAATACACGTATCGTGAGTTAAGTTAGAGATTAGCTCTATACACTGAGAATATTATATGCTAGATAACGGAAGCGTAATAGTTTATCGTACCAATAAAGCCGTAGATAAACGATATAGAGCAGAGAATTGATCGTCGATTCGATAAGTCGTTCATGCATGTGCACCCACGCATTTAGAGTATTACATAATCATTGTACACTTGATTTTTTTCTGTTAATAATTAATTAAGTTTGCCATCATCTGTTTTACGTGAATAGCATGTGAAACATCACGACGAAGCATTAAATATTTAAACACGTTCTATTTTCACGCTAATTTAATTCCATCGCATAGAACGTCACTACATCGTGCGGCAGTTCATCTTCATATTTTATCATAAACATTCCTTTTTTATTCTTTATCCTGAACAAAGTACAAAAATTCGCTCTTGAATACTTCCAAGATAGTAAATGTACGCGAACGAATTTCGTAATATATCATCTGAATATTCGGCCAGTTTACTCGGCAACTTCTCTATTCATCTTAGATCTTTCATAAATATTTGTTGAGAATTTCTATGCGCCGTGAATAGTGAAAATAAGAATCTGACAGTCGTTTCATTCTAGCGCGGTATAAAATAAGAAATGGATGGTAGTCGCAGTGCATTTCGCAAAGTTTCAAAATTACTTTGAAAACGTATGAAGAACGCGAGTTACAATTTCCGAGCCGAGGAATATTTCTGTAAATGAGACTAAAATGAAGCAGAAAAATATTTCAGTAAGTCATTCTTTCGTGAAGCGATCCTCAAATCGACATTCCTGCCCGTCATTTTTGTCAACGATACAGCTGTTTCCTACAGTTTTTTTTTTTTTTTCTCTATTATATTCAAATTTCACCTCATAATCAAAGTTAAATAATATTTATGATACCGACGATTAACATGAAGTACGCGGGAATATAGGAACAAAGGAAATGGATTTAAATAAAAAGAACAGAAAAACAAAGGAATTTAAATGATTATTTGCATTCAATGTAAAAGAGGAAAGGAATTTTTGCAAATCATACATACATATGAATCGAAGATTTCCGAGTACATAATAAAAGGCAAGGTGACCACGAGTTTTGAAACTGTAATTAAAAACTGTAAACAAATATTTTAAACTCGATTCCTTTTTCTTTCTGTACAGTATCAAAAATTCTATCAATTCTCGGCATTATCACCTGTCATTATCATCTATCATGATATCGCAGAAGATGTTGTCTTTTGAAAAAAAAAAAAAAAAAGGGTTTAAGACTTTGTGAATTTACTCACCAAGGAGAATAAAACGTATCCGAACAATTTTCAAAGTCTTACATCCTGTATATTGATGGTGTGTAACATTCACCAATCATCGAATCAACTGAAATTGCTTTTTGTATCACAGTAAGATACTTTGAATCACAATATGATAGTTTTCACGACGCCATTGACTTTCACAACGCGAGATAACACGGAATTGTCGTAAAATAATGTATCTGACGGTTTGGTAAAACGATTATACTGGAACCACGCGTGTGGATATGTCAGGTTGTAACGACCCTGGGACCGGCGAAGCCACAGAGGTTGGCTTCCGGTCACGCATCATCGACGGAGGCGTCGGAGGCGCGCGAGGCCGTCGAGATCCAGGAAGTGGAGATCGAGCAGGAGATGAGAGCGTTACTCTCTTCGTCCAGCCCCGTAAAGTCGCATCCTAGCAACCTGGCTGGGACGCCACCTCACAAACTCTGCCTGGAGACGAGCTTCACGTCCCTGCAAAGCCCATCCGAGTTCCCTCAGGCTGGTCGTGAACTCAGCGTCGATTCCAGAGGGATTCCGTGGGAGTACGTCAGCCTGGCCAGCGAATTGCTCAACACGCCCAGGGCCGACGAGAGTAAATCGTAAGAATAGCAATTTTACGTCTGGACGACGAACGGAGGACTGACGTTGAATCGACGCCGATACGTTAGACTTACGATGAGGATTTTAAAGCTACAAAAAGAAATACGCCACGAGAAATAACGGTGTTGCAAATCAATCGTTTTAAGAATGATAAACGTATGGGGCAGAGGGACATTCTGTATATAGTACTCGTATTTTGTGAGATTATTCTCGAATATTTGTATTCGGCAAAAGAAAATTTCTGCATTGAATTTCAATTTGTGTAATTCCTTCATTCTTACGATGCATTTCTAATCTCGTTTCAAGTTACACGCGAACAACAATCAAAAAATGTCATTTCATTGAGTTTCATTTCGTACATACCACGCTCTCGTTCACAATCGCTTACTTTTCACAAGATTCACAAGATTCACCGCTTCGGCAGTCGCGCACGTACATATTCATTGCACTCCATCGAGACTATCTAACGGAAAACGGTTTCTTCTGAAAAATTGCAGCTTAAGAGAAACATTTCTTACGCTCTAATGAACCGACATCTTATTTTCTTTATTACCTTCGATCCGAAAATGTTACTCTTTAGCTGCAGTTTATTTTTTATCGATTTCAAGAGCTGTGTTAAACGGTAACGGTCTTTTCTTGTCCCTTTTTTTTTCTCTTTTCTTTTTTTTTTAATATAAAGATGGAATCGTCGAAGCGACTGGGACGAGAGTTCTCGAACGGCACCACTGGCCACGCCAGAAACCCTGTCGGAGGCGTCAAGCAGTCCACCATCGCCGGTACCACCACCGAGGCCAATGAGGCGCACACCCAAGATTTCGGGAAACTTGTCAACGGCGGCGGACGACTTGAAGAACAACCTTCACTTCGCTATGCTCTCGGCGAAGAATTACTTCCTGAGGGAAGGGAACAACGGCAGTAACACAAGTAGCGGCAATAGCGAGGCAAGCTACGAAAGCGCCAGGAGCTTAACCGCTGGTCTTCCGCCGCCAATACCAAGAAGACGGGACTCAGTTATCGTCAGGAGGTGGTCTA